TTAGCCCAAAGCTAATTAAGTATTTCACTAAACTACATAACTTTGATATGTGATAAATTACATCAAAACGAGCCTTTGACTAAACATATTAAATTTTTATTAGGTAAATCAGAAATTATATTTTTTTGAGTAAACATATAGTGAAAGTTCGTTAGGGATGTTAGGCCTTATGAATTTACCCAAAGCTAATTAAGAGATAGAGGTGAATTGGTAAAAAATATCTTTCAATTAAAACACAAATCAAAACCAATATCACCACAGTAAAAACTAAAGTGTGGAAATTAAATGCGGATGTAATAAAGAAAGAACACACCGGATTTATAGTGGTTCGGTCAAACCTTGACCTACGTCCACTCCTTGGAGGCACCCTCCAAGTATTGCACTAAACTAAGTATCTCTCCTTTAGCCCCCACAGCTAGGCGGAGAAGCCCTTACAAAATCACTTCCACCTTCCCCGGTGCGGCGGAGTCGCCGGGTCCTTTGACACCAAAGAAATCTTATTCTTTGGTGAACTTCCCTCAAGATAAGCCTTGAATCCGGTGGTATTAAGGTACAAGCCTGCCGGAGCAATCTTGTGGAATCCCCCTCCACACTCCCTTGAGTCTCCCCTCACAGGATCTTCTCCCACTCAGACTTCACCCGTTCCTCACTCCCTTTCAAGTTCTCTCTTCAAGTTCCCCCCAAAAGAATGAAGCTACAATGGCTGTCAAAGACACTTACAAAATGCCTTGCTAAAGCTTAAATAGAAGATCTCAAAATGAGCTCATTAATGCAAGTTGCCGACACTATTGTCCAGGATGATAGGCATATTGTCATGGCCGATCAGTACAAATTCAGCTCATTAGCCTGGGACGATTTGGGACAATCAGAAGAAAATTGCTTACATCGTTCTGGCCAATCTCATGATCATCCCGGATGATTAGTTTAAAATCGATTTCAATCGTCCTGATCATCGCCCGGAATAGATGCTGGCCGATGTAAATCGTCCAGGCCATCGTCCCGGCCGATCCTACGATCATCCCGGACGATGTGATCGTATCAATAACCTATTAATGATTTCCAGATATACTAGATCAATTTAGGCATAATTGAGTTAGATCGTCCTGGCCGATTTCCTAAAATAAAGAACACCTAATATGATCATGATGGTTGATTCTTTTTGAATTGAGCCTATCGTCCTGGCTGATACAAGTATCGTCCAGGCTGATCAGCTTATGACGGCTGCCTTAATGAGGATGCCCTAATTAGGGTTTCTGCTTTTAGATAGATCATCCAGGACGATATAAATATCGTCCCAGACGATGTTACCAAAAATAAAAATCTTTAGGGAACAACAGAAAATTTTCCAAGTTACAAATCATTAGGAGCCACACCAAAGTATAATAGACTCAAGAAAGGAAAAAGAGTACAAACTGACTCAGTCCTAGTCTACTCAATCTTGAGCTGGTTCCAAATTGCAGTCTGATCGTGTGGACCTGAAATGTTAGTTGATAAAGCAGTCGCAGAGAAATAAGAGTATTTGCTATCATCAAAATCATAAACCATGAAAATAGATCCGCAACATATAGTAGATAAAATTTATTGATTTTCATGCATTTTATGAGTTATTGCATTTCATATATGATATTGACTTATCTTGCACAAAAAATTGTAGCATTTGCATGTAAGAAAAACTCATTGTTAATATTATAATTAATACAAGTTGGCTCTTAAGACAATATTTTTTATAGGGGGTGGATTGACATGCTTTCCTTTAATTAAAAGTTGGTGGTGTAATCATAGTAATAACATATAACCAATTGATCAGATTATACAGATGGGTAAATTATTATTAAAATCATATGTGAAAATAAATGATTAATAGAAATAAAAGAAAGATAAGATGAGATTGACAAATGAATAGATATGACAGATAACAGATGTAAGTATGAAAATTCCACATTAAAGCTGGGTGTCATACATTACTCTTTATAATTGTATTCATGATTACATTTACATGATAGTGTATACTGATAGACAATTATGCATGTCATAATGATTGATAGAATCTTATAATAAAACTATAAGCCTGAATATATATGATAGATAATTAAAGTTTATTTTACTATAATTCCTGCTATAGATTTATAAACTTTTTATTGTTCTTCATTTAATTTGATAGACATATTTTGCTTAGTGAGATACTCTTATTTTACTGGTCATATTAAATTTTATTAATTGCATAGATTATTTAGCATTTATATTGATAGCTTATTGATTAATATTGACTAGAACTAAAGCATGCATATTAAATCGTTTACATTCCATTGAAGGCATTTGTAAGTTTTGATTATTTGGTGGGTTTTATAAGCTCATTATATGATTTTATATGATTTGATGTAAAAGTAAGGAGGCTGCATCTTTAGATTAGAAAATGATGATCGTTTTGGTTTTATTTTAAGTTCTCATGCTTATATATTCTTCTGTAGCCAATGCTGGCTATTATATATGTAATTTTGAGTTTTGGAGCTTGTAGTACTACGTAAATATTAATAGTAGTAGTGTAATGATGTTTTTATATTATTTATTTAACTCTATCTATCAACTACTTCTGGGTCTTGGGAGTTCATGTTCAACAACACTTTTATCTTAAACAAAACATAAGGTTCAACTATACTCATATATATAACACACCAGGCATGAAGTAGATGGAGTGATAGAAATAAAAGATGACCATAACATAATAGAAATAGAGAGAGCCGTTGTAACATAATTTATAGTGCACTTGAACATCTCCCAAATAACAATATTTTAGGAGATAACACACGTGAAATTTACATACACACTTAACTTTTGCCATTTTAAAAATAGTTCATAAGGGACATTTAAAACATTATTTTGAAGCATTTAGTAAATTATAACCAATGTCATGAATGACGTCAAATACCCAATAATATACCCAATATTTTGTATAGGCAAAGCTAACCGTTGAAAATTTAGTTTTGCATTGTTAAAATATTTAGAATGGAGTATTCTACAACATACCAGAATTTACATAGTGGTAAGTTTCTTAAACATAAGAAACTTACATTTTTTTAACTAGTTTTTGCAAATGTCAAGATTGAAATCAGAAATAGGGTATTAGGAGCCTACCTTGAGTAAATCATTTTCCTCAACAAGCCTGATGGACGAGTTCATCTTTGTGGCCTCAAAAATCCTCTACACACTTTCTGTCTCATTCTTGTCCTCTTCTTTTCTCCTTCTCTAACAGTTAAGGTGGGGTATATATGAGAGCTCAATACTGCAGTGTCCTCACCAGCATCATAGCACTTCCCCGACAAAGCACCCTCATATAATAAAGGAATTTTTATTGCGTCCTCCCACATGACGTAGAGATACGTCCTCCCAGAGCTAAATTCGCGCTAAAAAATGAGAAATACCGAGCAAATACTGAGCAATACCAAACAATAACGAGGAATATCATCATGTGAAGACCAATACCGAGTTATACCGAGCTATACCGAGCAATACCGAGCAATACAAAAAAATACCTAGTTTTTCCTAGAAAAAACTCGGTATTTTTTTGTATTGCTCGGTATAGCTCGGTGTAACTCGGTATTGGTCTTCACATGATGATATTCCTCATTATTATCAAATAATACCTAGCAGTACCGAGCAAAAACTGAGTTTTTTGGCGGTGGGAGGATGTATCTCTACGTCAGGTGAGAGGACGCAATAAAAATTCCATATAAAGAGGGAGGTGCTACAGTGCTTCCTCGGCCAAACTTCCCCTAAATTGAGAAGATAGCATCACAACACTCTTGAGAGATTTTTTTGTTTTTAACTTTTCTTCTCTTTTCTAACTTAACCCTAGAATCATCTAGACTTTAATAAACACTTAATGACTTGAATTTTTACAGACACTTAACATATACTAGAGCATACATGAATTTATTACTAGCATAGAATAAGGTTGACTTATTGCTGTAGTAGTAGTTATTATATAATCCTTGGTTCTTTTTTACCGCTAGTAATCTACATCGAATTTCTCTGTTGGTACTATGATGCCCTGACCCTCTTTCATAATCAATAGTGGTTAATATGAATAGATGTTGTCAACTGATATGAAAATGAGCCCCTTCTTTGTCATGTGCACAATGAGAAAAAAGGGGAATTCAATGAGCATATATGCCCTTAATGCATTGTGATGATAATATAAAAAAGATGCTGGCTTCATTTGTGATGACTTTCTTACTATTTTTTAGTATAAAAATCTCATAAAAGCAGAAAAGAATAGTGGAATGATGCTGTCCCAAAAACAAAGCCATAATCTATTGGATAGTTTTATTTATAGGAAGCAATCAAAATAAGATACAACTACTATTTCTATGATGATCCTAACCCTCCTTCAAGATCAATAGTAACTAATGTTATTGTGGATACCTTATTTGTCATGTGCATGCTTCAACTAGTCAAAAATAAATTACAAAACATCTTAAAAGTAAACAACAAAATTCAACATATTATACATATTTATTATTTTATTACTAACATAACTATTAACCAAATAACTATTATAAATATTTTTATAAATTTAGAACTAATATGCAAAATAAAAAGTTACAATTAATAGAAAAATTACAACTAACAAATAATCTATGAATAACATAAACATTTTTATCAATATATGACTAACATAAAAATAAAAAAGATTTTTTTTTTTTATTTATAACATAATTTTTTTAAATGCACAACTAGCATAAAAATTAAAAAAATAATCTACTTAGAACGCGAAATGAATTTATATTATCTAGAAGTCTTCAGTTAAATGCAATATGAAAATACCTTTTTTTGAACACAAATTCTCATTGAATTTATATTTATCTTAAAATATATTTACATTGCACTTTTTTTTATTAAATTTAATTTAACATGTGCTTACTGCTAATATTAATTTTTTTTTTTTTAAGATTTTGCCTGACTCAGTCCCCTCCACTCGGATTCTCTCAATTAGTTACTAAAGCATAGTCCTATGCGAATTCATTGGTAGATCCGAAATTGGAGATTGAAGGCTGCGGCTGAAGATTATCAGCAATACTTGAAGAGAGCAGTCTCCTTCTTCTATTGGTAATCCTACGGAGCTCCAGTGCTCCACCGGCCAGCGATGGGGGAGGTAAGAAGCTATCTTCTCTCATCGAAGACGGCTTCCAGGTTCTCCTCCATCATGCTTTTGATTTACGTCCTTTCATCCCTATCGGCTGAGGGGATCCTCGCATCCGCTTCCGGTATCTCTCAATTCTTTTATCTGTCTGATTTTTGACACTGTACATGTTGCACATAAGCCTTTTGTTCACGGAATACTTTACTTCTAAACTTTTTTTTTTTTAATTTTTTTTTATTTTTTTTATCATAATCGAAGCTAAAGTATGGGAATAAAATAGTTTAATGATATGCAGTTAATGGGAATGCAATCTGCATCTTGCAACCTGTGTTTCTGAATGTGTGCCATCTTGCCTTTCGGCATAGTATTTATTTTCAGTACAATTTAGTGGTTTAGTAATGAGTTATGTTTTGACAGTTAATTTATGGGGTTTTTTGGTTTATTGTTATGTAGATAGGAGTGATATTTACTTAACAATGTTATTCAAATAACACATATAACAATATTATGATATAGATATGGTGCATTTGATTCAATGCTATCTTTCTTATATTATATTGTTATCCAGAAATAAGAACGATGATTGTAATTTTTAGAACTGTTTAGTTTATGGACCTCCACCACATTAGTGCCATCAGCTACCAGCCAGCTTCTCAAGCTGAGACTAGCTCAAATGGGTTCATTAAGCCTGCTCGATGGCGGATCGTCTGATCATTTATTAGAATGAAGAGTAAATGATTTGAGTTGTTCGGTTTAATACATCGATTTGATGGATTCTAAAGCGAAGGGCGAGAATGTTCCTCCTGAAATCCATAAATAACTTAGATTTTTATAAATTATGATTAGTTTTTTTAGAGATACATTTTTGATTCATATAAATTTATAGGACTCTAACTCCTTTCTGTAACCTCCAATTTGACACCCAGCCATCTTCTCTTTTGATAGGAGGATACTACGTCGATCACCTTCCCGTAGTCCATTATATTTTGTCGCTAGATACTCGCCATTGATTGGCACCTGCCACCGGTTGCCGGCCGATGCTTGACTTTGGATTCCTAAGTAAATTAATGTTGTTGTAAGGCAATCACCATATTTTCTTGTTAAGCGTATAATCTTTGTTTTATCTTTTACTTGTGAAGATCAGTGTGATACATAGGATTCTATCTGTCCAATACATTCCTTGATACTTATGTGATATCAGATTATCTATATTTTTTTTAACGACTCGTTTTTTTTGCTAAATTAGAAATTCATGGTTAGCACGCAAATAGAAACTGAAAATTAAAAGAAAAATAAATATTTTGGAATTTGTTAAATGATTTTATTTTATTTTTTTATGAATAGTTGCTTTAGTAAACGCTACAGAAAGGATATCTTATCCTATCAAAATTTCATTTTTCACGCCTTATGTGCTCTAGTTATCTAGAGTTTATCATTATCTCAGAATATGTTTTTAGCGTGTTTGCTGCTTGGGTAAATGACACACTGCGGTGTACTGGAAAAACACCTTGCATTTAATAGTTTATTGATTGATGTTACTTCTTTGATCTGATAATTTTATGCCTCAGAGCAGAGTGGAACCTGATTTGGGGTTTCTAATAGATATTTTCACACTTAGTAAGTACAATTTGTCTTTCTATTTCTATTCTTTCGAGCAGGTATGACCTTTGGTCGGAGCTCACGAGAACCGAAATATAAGATAGTGTTTCATACAGCAAGTTCTCCCTTTCATCCTGTAAGTAATTTCTATTTCTACCACTTGTTTTATAGTTGTTTGGCTGATATTCTTTTTCTGTTAAATAAATCTTTGGCTCAAAATTCTTTGATGGTGGATTTTGCATCTTCTGCAAGTTTAATCTTCAGTGCCGTTTTTTTAATTATATAATCTAAAATATTTTCAGCAATTTCAAAGAAATTTAACCAAATATTACTGCAAGGATCATTGTGCTCTTGAGAGGTTTTGATTAGTTTATGCAACATAATCTTTACATTCTAGTTCTTGACAATTGTCATTGGATTAATGAACTAGTGCCAAATAAAAGTTCCAAGCAAACCTATTGGAATTACATACTACGTATGGTGGACTGTCATAAATTAGGTGTCATGGTTTTTGTCGTAGATCTTCTAGTGACATCGTTTGTTTGTCCTTTGTCTATATGTTAATATTTAAGGTTATTTTGTCTTTTAAATGCGAACCATCTATTATTAATTGAGATTTAAGGATTTTGTAATTGCAGTGCTTTATTATTACTATGAAACATGAAGAATTGAATTGGTGGATGAAGCTCCTTTACCTCCTTTGGGCTCAAAAGTTTCACAAGCACAGTGCAATGCTCTATTACTGTGTCATGCGCTTGCTTAGATTGCCTTCCTTGCACTTTATGCTTGATCTATCACATTCTTTTTCATCAGTATGCTTGATCTTCAACATCCTGCAATAAATCATTGTCTTCATTGTTCATTGAAAAAATATTATGGTCACTCAACTCTAGGCTTTTTCAAATATTTTCGAATGGAATGGTGAAGATCTATTGTTTAAAATCTTTTGCAGGATAACGAGCAGGAATCCCTGGTGATGACTAATAAGGAGGGACAGAGTTTTGTCTGTTTTTTGCCCGTGGTTGAGGAAACCAAACCTTTGAAGCCAGTTGCCCAGCCAAATTCAACTAGCCTTATCATAGAAACTGACGAGAGGATTAAACAAAAAACACCTGATGAGCTAATTGAAGGAATAAAAGAGAAATGCATCTACAGAGTATGTTCTTTTCAAATACTACGAAGAACTAATCTATGATGGATGTTTTACTATCTTTTACTTTATTAGTTATATTGCAGCATGAAGGATGGTGGTCTTATGAATTCTGCCATCAGAAACATGTGCGACAGCTACATTTGGAAGATGATAAGGTTTGCCTTATAATTCATTGTGAACTTATTGTAAAGGAATTTCATAACATTTTGTTAAGGAATTTCCTGCTCGATAAAATTATTGTGTTTTTTAGATATAAATGTGTCAGGTGAAATTGCAAATGCCTTGAATTAGTCTACACACTAGTTGATTTTGAACATTTGTGTCATGTTGGCATCTTTTTCTTCAGTAAGTACCTATATGAAGATATGGCAGAAAGTCTAAGTTTTTACCTTCAACAGAGCAAATCAACTTTTTTGGGCCCTTAGTATTTCTTGCTACTGTCAGTAAAAAGTACTCATATTGTTTCTAAAACATTCTTCCTACTGACTAATCAATTACAATAACTGAGATTATCTATTAATAGCCAAATTAAACAGATGTATTGGCAGGAAAACTACTAACTCCGTTAAGTATTTTAAAAAGGTGAAAAAAGTTGGGCCAGTGAGATTGGAAGAGATTGGCTTTAAGGTAAAAGAGTAGAAACTTTCATGGGCTAATTATTAAAGTTATAGAATTATGAAACAAAAGGGGTTGACATAAGATTATATGAGAACTGTTCAAAATGATATGTAGATATTCATAACATCAAGAAAAATGATGATAATAAGCTCTATTGGCTGTTAAAAAATATGGAAATTTTAGGTGGATAGAAAATAAACAAATTTTTATTGGAATTTCAACAATTCTTTCTGATCAATTACTACTAATAATAAACTAGGGAATTAATCTTTAAATTTTTATTCCTAGAAGTGCAACCAAAGGGCTTAGTTAAGCAGGTGTAGAGAATGAGGAGATGCGAAGCAAAGATAAAATCAATGAGTGGGGCATTCACATTGCACTGATAACTTTTAAAAATTGAGAAGCTTCTGGCTTACATTCTACTAAGTGCTCCATCTCGGATTCACCTTAAAATCCTACAAATTTTATAAGGTTTTCAAGGCTTTGTTGTTGTACAAATTAGGGTTTAAAACTAAGGGCTTATGTTGAAGCCTTAACTTGTTTAAGGCAAGCCTTTGTGGTTCCTACGCCAGTTCGGCAGATTAATGAGCTAGCCCAATCCAATTGACAATCTTGATCTTGTGGTGGAACCCATCTCTTATCTCACTAAAAAGTTGGTCATTGCTTTGTATGGAAGTTGAAATTAATAATCCTATTTTAGGCACATTGCCTTTTCTTTGTGGTTCCCATCTCTTATGCTCACTAAAGAGGCGATTTTTTTATTTATTAGCATTTGTTGAAAGTTGAAAGAAAAGGCATTATATTTTGGCCTAACTATTTTTTCAGGACTCGAGTGATAGGAATTCAATCTCCTTATAGAATAAACAATAATGCCGATGGAAAACGCAGCAAAAATCAGCAAGAAAGGAAGAGATTATAGACTAATTCTCTTTGATAAAGGCACAACAAACCAAGATATAGGTTGATCTACTATTCAAGAGGTAGACCGACTCTCCACAAATCTTAGGCACCACTTGGAACAACTCATATTTGTCACACTATGGCACAGTTCCTCGTGGATCCATAACGTATAGTGTATGGCGTATCGCGTGCCATTTTAAGCATGGAAAATAATAAAAAATAATTAAAAAACATATATTTATTAATATTAAATACCATTAAATAGCAAACAATAAGTTGATTAAATCAAAATTTAAACATAAGTATCCCGTCAAATAATAAAAATGATAATTTTAAATCTTACAGTAACTTATATTAACATATTTGAAAAGATTTAAGCATAATTTAGTCTAAATTCCACCAAATAGCAAAAATATTAACTTTAAATCCTACAAAAAATTAGATCCTATAAATTTTTTTGATATTTTTTTTTAATTTGATGTTTAATTAATTAATAAATAATTGAGATATTAATATATAAACATTAAAAATATTTAATTATAATTTATAATTTTAAATTATATCATATTTACAAAATAACACACGCCATTTGCATCTTGTGCCATTACCCATGCATGGCAAATAATGCGCACTATTTTGATGCACCACACCATACTAAACAAATAGCTCCATATGTGTGCCGCGCCGCGCTGTGTGTCATGGCGGCCCCTATTTTGCGCTATTGACATGTATGAAACAACTTAAAAAAAATTACAACAAATAATGATATAATGAAAATAAAAAAACCTAATTAACCATATATAAGCTTTCCAAATTTCCTTCCAAATTTGTATTCAAATAAATTCCTTTTCATTGAATAAACTTTCCTAATTTCCTCCCAATTTTATTTTCCAATGGTAAGTAATTAAAGTTGGATTTATTCCCCTTTGGATCCCCCTCTTTCCTTGCCCGCCGTCCATCTTAGTGGGGCCCTCCGCGGGTCCATCAATACTCCTCTTCCAAAAAGTCACATTGTCCTCAAGGTGGAAAGAAATAAATTGCTTTTGAATAAACAAAATTCAACAAATAAGATATAACCCAAATTCAATTGGAGAGGAAGATTTGGCTCTCCCAAATTCTTAGCCATCGGCTAGAGCCCAATCAACTTAAGAATAAACAAAATTAAGCAAACATGACATAACTCTAGCCCTAGGAAAACAACCTACTTAAAGTAAACAATAATGATGTAAATCCCAAAACAGCCCTCCTTTGAATTTTCCATCCTAAACAAGCCTTAATTTCCTTCTTCAAATGGCTTCTAGAACCCACCTCATGTACGCCTCCTGTAAGTAGGGGCCAGTCCCTTCTGGACCAGTTTAACAATACCCTCCTTCCAAAGACCCACCTTGTATGCAAGGTGGAAAGATGGCTCCCTCCTCAATTCTTCGTCATTATAAATAGTGAGAACATGAAGAGTTTAGTCCTTACATATATGCCCCAGTATATATCTCTCCTCACATTTGAAATAGATCTCATTCGCCCTCTTCTCCTGTAAATCTGTTTTTGTGAGCTTCTTGAAGTTTTTCCCACGTCTCCCTCCAACAGTCTTCTCCTTTGGGATTTCCCTAAGAGCACTCGGTGTCAGCTCCTTGGGAACCAAAAATGTGGTGGTCATCCTATAAGAATCTTCTGAGTTGCCGCCTCCAATCCCTCTCTCTAGGTACCCTGAATGTCAACTAACTGTGCTAGCTCCATATTCTCTTCTAAACCATGAGGCCTTATCACTCTAACAGTTGTCCGAATTCTATGTTTGAGATCTTTTATAAAGTTTTCCTCCAGTACAATCTTTGGAAGTTGGTCCAGTCAGATGGCTAGCTGCTCAAATTGCTCATGGTACTCCACCACTATCACTTATTGTGTCAGGGCGAAGACCTGCTCATAGAAATCTCATCTTCTCCTTGTTCAAAAATATTCCAACAAGTCCTTGAACTCCCTTGAGTTCTGTATGGGTCGCCTCATATCCCTCAACTGTTGCCAACGCTTTTCCCTCCAAGCACATCCTGTCCACCGTTAGTCTCTCCTTCTTCGTTAACCTATTGATGGTAAAGTACCTTTCCACCTTGTATATCCACCCATGCGCATCATCTCCCTAAAAACAAGCATCTTAAGCTTCCTCACCCTCGGATCTCCTACGTCCCCCTTGTTTCCTTTATAATTTCTCATTCCTAGGGGGTGGTTCCCCCCAAGAGTCCCAATTATTCCTTCTATGCTCGTACCCAAATCATTCATCAAATTCTCACATTCTCCTTTCAAATTCAGCATCCCTTGGATCATAATCACTCATCCTTTCAAATTCAACACCTCCCCTTTCAAATTCAGCACCCCTTCGGTCATAATACGCCCCTCTCTTTTCAAATTCTACCTCTCTCCTCTCAAATTCATCACCCCTTCATTCATGCCCGACCTCCTCATGCTTCTCCGCATACCCTCTAATTAAGTCCACCCTAAGAATAGGCTCTAGGGGTGGCATTCTTTTTTCTCCCTCCAAATTCTCCGCCTCCTGATATTTCCTTTGCCTTATCGGACTAGGGTTTCCCCACTTTCTTGGCGACCGACAGCTTCCCTCACCTCTGACGACGCCGTTTTGGTTTGGCCCTCGAGCAACTTCTTTAACATCTCCTCTAGGATGAAAAATTTCCCATCAATCTTCTTGTGGATACTTGAAATTTGATTTTTGAAATTTGAAAATTGAGTTTGGAGTTATGAAATTTCATATTTCAATTGTTTGATCTCCTCTTCTAACACTTCTATCTTTCTTCCTCCTATAGGTACCCGGATCTAGACTCCAAACAACAAAAACAACATATATGGTCTTCAAACCACAAAAATCAGCAATACGAAAGGGAGAAAATGCAGTAAAAATTAATAAGGATGTCCTATATTTCAGCCCAAGATACTGCTCTGATTCCAATTTGATAAGAATTAGATGCAATTTTAACAAAATCAGCGGATGAAATACAAAATATTGAGGAGAAAGATGCTAAAAAATAATTTTTATTGGAAGAACTATGAAGAGAAAAGCAAGATACATTTTTTTTTTTGCTTCAATTAGAGGGGAAGATGATAGGAAATACTTGAGTTCGCAAGAATCCCCAAGGGAAATACTTGAGTTTGCAAGCAAACCTATCACTAATTGGTGTAAACAACGAGAATAATGCAAAATTCTTGGCGGAAAAACAGCCCCCAAACGATGGATTGCAATGAGAAAATCAAGTCAAACAAAGACAAAGCAAGATATAAGTGATCCTCAATTCGATAGGAGGGTATCGTTCTCTCCCAAATCTCTAGAAAAGCAATCTAGAGCCCAAACACCCAAGAACTCAAGAGAACACAAAATATTCAAGCATGAGTCACTCCCTCCAACCAGCCCCCTTACTAATACAATTCATTTCCTAATTTCAAACATCTCACATTCAAATTTTCCCTCTCAAACTAGCCTCCCAAAACCCTTCTCCCTATTGCTCCAAATGGACGGCATCATTAAAGGGGGCAGACCCCACCAATCCTCCTTTTGTAAATCTGAATAGGCCTCACAATACCACCATCCCAAAGAATCACCTTGTCCTCAAGGTGAAAACTAGAAAACTGATGTTTCACC